TATATATACACACACACACACACATACACATCAGCTTTACTACAGCAGATGTCTTGGGCAGATTTCAGTGGCCCCTGATAGTGTCTCACCAAGAGCCCCTTTGCCTTCCTTCCCTTCACAGGCAATTGTGGCCATGGCAGATCTTTTTCACCCAACCCACAGTACATGGTGAATGAACTACCTCTGCAGAATGTTTAGTTAGACCAACAGTAACCCAGACAATTCCAACCAAATCTAATCTCCTAAAGGGTCTCTTTTCAAACCAATGCTCCCCCAACATACCATGAGATGGTCCCATGATTCCACCATACATTATGCAATAGTTACTTCCCTTGCATGGTCAGCTTACCCACTCTTTGCTATTGAGGCATTAGGTTGGTTTTGCTGTATGTATAATTTAAAGCACAATGTCAGCATATTCATTCACAGGTGATTGCTGATATGGAATTCTGCTGTTTGTGAACAAATTATTTTCAAAAAATACACATTAATTTGTATTCATGAAGTTCTATGGTTGAGTGATCTCACCTTTCAGCTGGAAATTGAGAACAGATTAGCTAAGTGAGAGTAGTAATAAAGCATGCTGCCACATTAATGCGAGAATAAGAATGTCATTCCGCGCTCCATAATGTTCGGTGCCAGTAATTCTCATGCAATGTGTACATATCTTTACGTCTAGTTATTGATTCGTTTGACATAAAGACAGAATTACCATTTTAACTTCAACACACTGGTGCTGCAAAACATGTAATTACCAAGAACTCGTAGCTTTCTTTACTATTCAAACCCCACTAGTCAAAATGATATATCCCAGTATTACACAGCGGATATTTCTCTGTGCTGTGTTATTACAAATGTATATTTGTGTATTGCGTAATCTGCGTTCACATCAGAAATGACAATAGATTCTTTCCCTCTGTCTTTTTTAGCGCCAACAATAACTCTGACGGAAGCAAGTTAAACGGGCAAAGAAATCTCCAGGATTCTGCTGACGCACAAACGCAGCCAAGGAGCAACTACCACAACAGGAATAACATACAGAAACGGCTGGTTAAAGAGGGTAAATCGAATCTATTGTGTTGTGTTTGCTTTTTCTTATTGCGGAGAGGTGCAGTTGTAATTTGACTACACCGACTTTTACAGTAATAAAAAGAGTAGTGCGATAAGCACATCTGATTCCAAGGATCTCTTGCCAGTACACACATTGCATTATCGTAGCTCTGAATATACAGATGCACTATATGGTTTTATAAAGTGTCAGTCCCCATGGGGAAGAAGCAGAGGAATCGTTCAATACTATGGGCCGATTGCCGAATTTCCCCTTGCCAAAGAGGCCTGCATGACCTTGCGCTATTGGTGGCTCATGATGAAGGTTGATCTATACTTTATTTGCAGGAGTCATGGCATTTCTGTGTTTTCTTTCCAGCTACCTCAAAGGACGATTTTGTTCAATTCTCCTCTGCAGCATCTGCCGTAGGCTGGCCATTCCTGCCAGGAATTTTGCTATCACTGGCATCAGCTTCACTAATTATGGCTGTGTAACCAGATTTGATAGAACTAGAGCCATGCCCATTGAAAGGATATACAGTCAATTTCTTCATTTATGTTTGACCCACCACTGGCTCTTCATTGCTGTGCTGGGCACGCTGCAGAATCTGAGGCTCCCAGCTCAGCTGTGACAGGCCAAGCCACTGCTGTCTCCAGCCTGAGGCAGTACCCTGTAGATTTCTGTGGAGGATACACTAGCTAGAGGGAACAGAAATGAAAATACATTGGGAAACCAGTGATAGGTGAGAGCTCGGCTGAAAAGCCAGGCCATGCATTCATGTATAGTGGGTATGTACATGTACTGTATTTCTTTATCATGGGCAGGGCTAAAAAAAAAGAAAATTCCCTCCCCAGGTTACAACAATGACTAGGGATTTACCGATACCAAGTACCGTACTCAGTGCCTGTACAGATACTTTTCCAGCTCCAAAACTAGACTGGAGAGAAATTCAAAAATTAGGAGGCAGCTGTCATTTGTAAGGAGCACACGGAGCTCCTGGGATTTGTACAACTCTGTTTTAATGTATGATTTTGTTTTTTATAAATATATATAAGGGATGCACCGATACCATTTTTGCAAGTACAAGTACTGATACTTGTCCAAGTCCTCACAGATACGAGTACTGATACATTTTTATTTATTGTCATGTGACAGTTTTTCTAAAACAATATCGACTAATGATTTCAGGACAGTGGTGGAGAGCCAGAACCAGGTCCCAGCTGCAACCGCTGCAACCCTGGTAGTTCTCATGAAAAGTATCGGCACTGGTATCTGAAAAGTATCGCTGCATCCCTAACAATGACCTTAGATAATTTAGACATGTGTGCACACAGTGTTTCTTTTCCCTGCATGGGCTGCAATATAGCATTACATACCACTCCGCTACATTACATAAAAGTCGCACTAATGTGAATTATACTCATTTCCCTGAACCCCCCCCCCTTTCCCAAATTGGCTCATATACTCAGGAGAACATGTCCAGGAATATGAGCCACTGGCTCCGTATGCGAGTAAATATTTAGCACCACTGCAGTGTGCGTGTTAGGGGCAGTTTTACCTTGCACCGTTAACGAGGAACTTTACCCAAATCTTCAAAATAACAACAATGGCACCTTTAGAAATGTTTAGTAATGACAATCTACAAACGCATCATCTCAGGGGAGGAAAATGCCTTTCCCTGAGTTCTCATGAGATTACAGATGAGATCTCCCACCAATGCTCTGTGATGTAACCTTCCCAGGATGCGATGCTCAGGCACATTAGATAATTTGCGCCAAAGAGAACCAGGAAGTGGAAAAAAAGAAAAGAACTTGTGAGTAAAATAAATATGTTTGTTTAGCTAATGAATGCAAGATGATTTCATATCAGCATGCAGAGCTGCATGCTGATGTGATTTTTAGTCAAAGGGAGTACATGTCCACTTTAAGTGTGCTGTCCAGCTCCTGCACCGGAACCATTTCAAGGTACGGAGGACTGTAATTCTAGCACTGCAGATATGTCTGCATCAGCAAGTCCCTGCAGTTCCTTGTGCTGATGTCACAACTGCATATTTCTCTTCTGGATCCTGAGAGGACCTCACAACTGGGCAGCCAATATGAAGTGTCCATATGAAGCAGGCATGTGGTCAACCAAAGAAGGACTCCGGCCCCAATAAATAGCAGAAGAGAGACTGGATTTGTTTTTGTAATGACATTCATCAGCTGGAGGGGTGGTGTTGGGGGTGGGG